CCCCACACATCAGGGGCCTCACAAACCGTTTGAGCCCGACACTTGAGAAATCCCAAACTCCAGGACCCAGACACCTCCAGACCTTAAAACCTAGGAACCTCAAGACCCGGGACCCTAAAATCTGTGGCTCTTGATATCAATACCCCGGGACCTTGATATCTGGAGATCCTACGATACCTGTATCCTGAGAACCAGGGAACTTAAAACCCCAGGACCTTGGCACTCAGGGACTCCAGAAACCCTGGGACTGAATGTTGGGAACCTTCAAACCCAGTTTCCCAACACCTGGTGCTTTTAAAACCCCATGACCCTAAATTCTGGCGGCCTCAACACTTGGTGACCCTGACACACAAGGACTCCTGCATTTGACGGCCCTAAAAACCCAGGATGCCAACATCTAGGGAGCCTGATTTCTGGATTGCTTGAATCTAGGAGGTTTTGATATCCATGGATCTTGACATCCAGGGATGCTGACATTTGGAATTCCTGAAAACTCCAGCCTCCCAACATCTAGTCTTAAAACCCTAGCAGCTCAATGTCTAGGGGCCCCTGAAATGCAGGGAACATGATATCTGGGGACCTAGAAACCCAGACACCATGCCACTTGGGCCTCTTGCTCTTCTCAGACCCCAGAAATTTGGGGCTTTTAAACATAGGGAAATTTGAGATTTTTTTTGAACTCAGATCCCTTCTATACACCACACTTTTACACCAAGGTGTTAGGACCCGAGGACTTCTCCAGTTCTTAGTTTTCCAAATGGAAGGCACAGTCATCAACACCCAGGACCTGTCTGAACTGTGGCCATCCTCCCCACCCCCACCCTGGTACTAGGGCTTCCAGAAGGCGGCACGGCCTAGCTTGATCCTTGTTTCCTGACTGCTCTCCCCGTCGAGCCTGCCACTTTCTTCTTCAGGGCAGTTCCTCCAGATGTGCAGACCCTGCGAGCCTTCACCACTGAGCTGGTCGTAGAAGCTGTGGTTCGCTGCCTGCGTGTGATCAACCCTGCTGTGGGCTCTGGCCTCAGCCCCCTGCTGCCTCTTGCCATGTCCGCCCGGTTCCGCCTGGCCATGAGCCTGGCTCAGGCCTGCATGGTGAGTTTCCTCCTCCCAATACACACAGCCTCTTCCTTCCTCCTTCACAAAGTCTCCAAGCTCTTTTGAAACTCTTGCCTTTCCTCTCTGCCACCTCCCCTTATGGCTTAGTTGTCATTATTTAAGGCTGCTGGCTCTCTGGCCAAACTGCCTGAGTAGTTCAGACGCTCGCTACACCACTTGCTAACTGGGTGACCCTAACCCTTCTGGGCCTCAGTTTCCTTATCTGTGAAATCGAGATGATAAAAGTAGTTGCTCTGAGCATTAAATGAGTTGATCCAGTTTGTGCCTGGGCTGCCCCTGGCTCCCACATTTTAAGCTTAGCACCAAGAATTTTTTCCCCTATAGTATCCATTTACCAGTTCCAGAAAAGGCCCTTCTTGGTTCACATGCTCACCCCTAAGTTAACCACCATGTACTCTGATTGGCCCAGCCTGGATCACATGATCATCCCTACAGGGCCCTGTGATTGGCTGCTCCTTCAGGATCACATGGAGTTGAGGAGAGAGGGTTACCCAGGGGAAGATAAGCTGGTTAACTACAACACTGTCTCTGCTGCATTCCCCCTGTGGCAGCCACACATGTCCCGCCTCTCATGAGAATGATTCCCACACTGTCTCTCTCACAGATAAAGTGCCTTCTGACAAAGCACTCACGCCTCCCCAGTACAGAGCTGTGTCGTTACTATATCCAAGGGCTCTGAGTAATGTCATTTCTCTGGCTCACTATCTCTGTGACTTTGGGCCGGTCTCTTAAGCTCTTTTGGCCTAAGTTCCCTCATGTGTAAAATGGGCATAAGGATTGTACCTACCACGTAGGGTTGCTATGAGGATTGAAAACAAGTTATAATATGAAAAGCTGGATATAATAAGCTTTATGTAAGTGGTATTACTATTATTAGATAGGCCTTATCTGGCTGCTTGCATTCCAGCAAGCTGTGGCTACATAATGAATGTAAACACGCCCAACATACCCAGTATATGGTGGTAGAGGGACAATAGAGTAACTACAGTGAAAACTTCTGTTTAGCCCCAGGGGACAGGGTGGTCAAGTTTCTTGAATTTGTACCTTGCTTGCGCAGTTTCTGTCTCTTAGCAATGGGCCTCAGAGCTCTGCCCATCCCTTAGCTCTCAGGCTCACCTACCTCTCAGGAGTTCTCAGGTTCTTCTGTGTGGGGCTGTCCCCTGGCCCAGGGCTGTATCGTCAAGGATGGCACTTTATAAGGGGGAAGTTATGTCCTCTGTTGAGGAGGGGCTGGGGCTCGGGCCTCCCCCAGTTCTCTGTTGCTTTCTTCTCTCAGTGCTGTCTCCCACTGGATCTGGTGTTGACCTACTTTTGCTCACACTGACTTGAGTGTCGGGCAGAGAGTACGGCTTTTCCAGTGATCAAGAGGTTCATGTGATTGTCTGGCTCCAGAGCCTCAGTTTTCCTGCAGGAGGCAGAAAGTGTGTCTCTTACCCCAGCTGTGTGCTGCCGCTGTGGCCCACATCAGCTCAGTACCGCCGCCTTCCGGTGTCTGCCTCTTCATGCGCCCTACTCCTGGCACCACTTTCTGCAATTCAGCCGCCTCCATTTTTTGGTGTCTGTCACTTCACACACCCCCCTCCTGGAATGAGTTTCTGTATCAGTCACAACTCTTTGATTGCAGGTGTTGGAAAAAACCCAAAGTAAAGTAGCTTAAAAGCCAGTGGTTTTCACACTTTTTTGACTCCAAAATAAATATATCTTACAGTGTGACCCAATACACACATATGCATATGATAATGATGTTTTCTGAGTGTGTACTCTATGCCAGGTACTGTGGTAACATGGTGTTAACTCATTCAATTCTCATGACAACTTTCTGAGGAAGGTACTGTTGGTATCCCTTTTTTCAGATGAGGAAAGTGAAGCACACAGAGGTTAAGTGATTTGCCCGAGGTCACACAGTTGGTTTGAGAAAAGGCTTGGATTTAAATCCAGAAAGACTGCTTTCAGAGTCCACGCAACTCCAGACCAACAGCAACTCTGGCAGAAAAAGGCTTTCTTTCTCTCTAGGCCCATTTCTCAGTCCCCATCCAGAACCCCAGTGGGCCCTTTTATCCCTAAAGCAGCCACAGGGGGAAAGTACCGTCAGCCCCATTTTACAGCTAGGAAGCTGAGCTTCCTGGTGGTTAAATAACCGGTCCAAGGCCTTTGACCCAGTAAGTAGCACGGGCTGGATTTCAACCCTGATCTTTTTTACTCCAAAGCTTGTAGTCTCTTTAAAAAAAAAACAAAACTTATTGTTTTGAGTAGGTCATTTTTACCAGTCAGGGTCCAGTCTGGAGACAGAAACCCCAGCAGTAATATGAACAGGGAAATTTTAATATAAAGAATTGTTAGCTAGGTAAAAGGTGGTTAACTATTTAACTACCATTTAACTATTTAACCACCAACTATTTAATGAAAGAGATCTCCAAGGTATGACAGAAGATAGCTTGAGAAGTCTTACTGGCACTTCACACCATTCACCCATACTCTTACCTGTCTGCTATAAGACAGTTACTCTGATGAGTTTCTTGTGTATCTTTCCAATTTTTTTAAATGCAGATATAAGCAAATATGAACGTATATTCTTATTTCCTCCCTTTCTTACACAAAAGAAAGCATATACCTAGTTTCTTACCTTTTTTTCCCCTAACAATGTCTCCTGGAAATCATTTCATATCAGACAATAGAGATCTTAAATCATTTTTTCCTTTTTCCAGCTGCATCGTAGTCCACTGTATATAGGTACCATAATTTATTCAACCACTCTCCTATGCTTGGACATTTAGGGAGTTTCCAGTATTTTGCAGAGTGCTGTAATGAATAATCTGGTGTGTATGTATTTTTGAATTGTTGGAGGCATATCTTTGTGGTAAACTCCTAGAAGTAGGATTGCTAGGTAGAAGGGTAAATGCATATGTAGTTTTGTTCGATTTTGCCAAATTGCCCTCGCTGGGATTGTTTAATTTTTGCCTTTCCGGTGACAGTGTATGAGAGAGTGCCTGTTTCTCTACAGCCTCACCCACTGAGGTTATTGTCAGATTTTTGCCCATTCAATAGATGAGGAGTGGTATTTCAGTATAGTTCCCCCCCTCCCCTGTTTGTACTTTGAAAAACTTTCAAATTTAGAGAAAAATGAAAATAGAACAGTGAACACCTGTATACCCTTCTCCTAGCTTCCTATATTGTTAACATTTTGCTCCGTTCTCTTCTCTCTCTATAGATTCACACACACACACACACACACACGTTTTTGCTGAACCATTTGAAAGTGGCAGACATCTTGACACTTCACGCCTAAAACCTTCAGTGTGCCTCTCCTCAGTAAAAGGCCCTTCGCCAGCATAGCCACAATACCATGATCACACCCATGAAATTTAATATTGATAGAATAATAGTATCTAATATCTAGTACACGGTCAAATTTCCCCAGTTGTCACAAAAATATCCTTGATAGCTCTTTTTCGAACCAGAGTCCACTCAAGGATCTGACATTTTCTTTCACTGTTACGACTCTAATCTTACCTTTGGAACAGTCCTCCCTTGTTTTTGCTTCTTTCACGATGAATGTTTTTGAAGAGTCCAGGCTGGCTGTTTCATGGAGTGCCCCACAATTTGAATTGGTCTGATTGGTTTCTCATGATTAGATTCAGGTTTGGGGCAGGAACACCACACGAATGATAGCATCTCCCTCCCCGCATGCACGTGAACCTCAGGAGAATGGACCGTCAGGTGGTCCCGGGACGGTGATGCTTGTGTGCAGTCTCTCGGTGTGCTTTCAATTCGTGTCTTTCTTGTAGGCAAGATTGGACAGATTTGCATATGTTTAAGAGCCGTTTTCATTTCTTTTTCTGTGAACTGTCTGTTCCTATCTTGTGCCTACTTTTCTGTCACATTGCTGGTCTTTTTTACTTGTTTAGTTTTAAGCACTCTTTATATACCAGGAAGATTCGCTATTTGCCTATGATATGAGCGCCAGTTATTTTTTCTCAGCTTTTTTCTTTTTTGAATTTGCTCATTTATATTTTTTCTTTAAAATCTTTATTTCATTTCATGTATTCAGAAATACCCGTCTTCTCTTTTATGGCCTCTGGAGTTTAAGTTATAGTTAGAAAGGCCAGAGCTTTGCTCTTATTTCTTGCTATCTGTAGCATTGACTATAACCCCTCTGTGGCTCCCCGCAGAGGCCTAGAGGCCTTGGGGAGCCCAGGGGAGGTTCAGAGGGTGGTGGTTGGTGAGAGAGTGGGAGCGTTTGTGGTCTAGGTCCAGGGCTCCCAGGGTAGGAGGATCCTGCCTGCCTGACTGGTAGGGGCCCCCTCCTCAACCCCCAGGACCTGGGCTATCCCTTGGAGCTTGGCTATCAGAACTTCCTCTACCCCAGTGAGCCAGACCTCCGGGACCTGCTTCTCTTCTTGGCTGAGCGTCTGCCCACTGATGCCTCTGAGGATGCAGACCAGCCTGCGGGTATGGGGGTGCCTGGGGCGTGGTGAGAGTGAGGGCAGAGGGTGGCC